AAATACAGTTTTTCCAACAGCATTTATTAAAGAGGCTATCTTTCCTCCAGTGAGTATGGTTGGCTCCTTTGTCAAAGATGAGGTGGCTGAGTATGTCTGGAGTTGTTTCTGCATCTTCTAATCTATTCCACTGATCCTCAGGTCTGTTTCTTTGCCAGTACCATGCTGTTTTTAATCACAGTAGCTTTGTAGTATAGTTTTAAGTTGGGGATTGTGATACCCCCTGCCATGTAGATAGGAAACCTTAGAATCCTGACAGTCGATGCTGGGCTCTGAGCAGCACCTGTGTTGCCACAGGCTTTTTGGAGCATCTGCTGCAGCTGTGGACAGGTAGCTGGGTATACATGTGCTGGATGTGGCCCCAGCATGCTCCCCCAGGGACACCTTTCTGTTCATTACTGAAACATTCACCGGCTTGGACCCAGAGGCCATTTCATCTGAATGTCTTGATCTGTAGAGTGGTCTAAGTCAAAAATCACTCAGGGTTAAAAGCCCTTCCACCTGAGACTGCTCACTGGCATAGTCACTGTGTTAAGACAGAGTCCATGCTTCTGCTACCCTAGCCAGGTTTCTTTACCAAGTCACTACCTGGAGCATCACATCCTCATTTAGCTCATTTTCTAGGCTGTCATAGGATGAGTCATTCAGCTGGACACAGAGGCGTCTGAGGAATTCTCTTTAGTGTCATATCTCAATGAAACCTCTCCAAAGAGAGATGTGATTTCACATCCAAATATCCTACAGCAATTGTCAATCAGAAATTGTACAAGCAGGGAAACCTTCTTTGTAAATTCATGTTCTGTTTCTGGGCTGGAGGAAGTAGAAGGCCAAATAAGGCTTGGAGTGACACATATTGCCAAGTTACATGCAGTCATCTGATTGATAGAGGAATTTTTCTCCATGTTGTATAACACCCCAAACAGATATCTCAGGAGAATGATACTGGCTCTTGGAAGCTGGTCCAATAGACTCTGAATTGTATTTATTTTCTCTTCATCATTTCCTTGATCCATTACACAGACCCAATGATCATAGATATCTAATAAAAAAATTACTTCCTGGAATGATTTGAAGAAAGTCCTTTAAGACAGATGTTAGCACAAAAATAGATTCACAGTCTATGTGTACTTCAACTCCAGAATTCAGCTTCTCTTTTAGCTCTCTGCAGGATTTCACATTGGCTGACTGTCTGAAGATGCCCCTTGTAAGGGGGCCTTTTTGATTAAGAAAGAAAAGCATATCCAAGACAGACTGGGGCAGATTATCATTTTCACAAATATCTTGCAGAGAAACTCCAAAGAGCTGTCCTGGTATAGGAGATGTTGGCAACACAGGCAAGTTGTCCAGGTGAGCACTAGAACCACGCCAAAAGGCCCTGTTTATGATAGATCTCCTCCTCCTGTCTTCTGACCTGAATCATTTAGATGCTGGGTGGCAGCCAGGCAGCTGGGCTTCAGGATGAACTGGCACTGCATCTCTCAGGCAGCTGTTCCATGAGGAAGGGCTCCTGGAGATTGGGAAAGGCTGGCAGAGTCCTTTGATCCTTGTGGCAGAAGTGTGGTGTCTCAAAGATGGTTCATTTTAATTCCATGGGGATATTTGTGCCCAATGAGTGGGTATGGTGCTGCTTCTTTTCCAGAATTGACACATAACTGGTAATCTCTCTCAGAACCAGTTATCCCTAGCACTCATAATGACATGTTGATAACTTCATTTGCTGTATCTGAATTCATTAGTCTTATAGTTTTAGAATAGGCACAATTCCCAAAGTCCTTGGCGAAGATTTTGAGGGGAATGCTCTTTGGGTAGTACTTCTCTTTCTCTAGACTGATGTATCTCTGAAGGAGAGAGAGCCATTTGTCCTTTTGTTCTGGAGAACTGAATGTGGCCACAAAGTTCACTGTGGGCCAGCCCAAGAGAAATGATTTCATAGCATTGGTGTTGACTTCTCCCACTTCATCCACACAGCTGGCTGTCCACATAGCAGTTAATTTAATTTTATTTTTTATCTTAAAGTTATTCTTGTATTTGACTTTGACTACAAGAGGCAGGTCATTGAATAGGAAAAGATGCTGCTCCTGCCTCTGCAGGCCTCTTTTGAGTTCTACCCAGCCATCAGTCAGCAGAGTCCGACTGCGGCACACAAATGATGACAGCGATGCACAGGTGTCAACACCAGCAGAGGGACTTTCCCTTCATCTAGGTACCTGGGTTTCTGCAGCTGCTGCTTCTTGAAATGAGAATCAGTGAGATGTTTGGGGGATTTTCACACCGTTGTTATGGAGATCTCCAGGGCCCTGGTATTAGGCTGTTTTTGGAGGGCTTTATCCAGGATAAGAGGTGGAGTACCCCTCCTTTCTGCTGGTGTTTTCATTTTCTTCTTGGTGCCTGGGCCTCCCGCGAGCCCAGACACTCCCGTCAGGGAAGAGGGGCGGGGCGGCTGTCCCCCTAGTGTCTCCTGCTGGGGGGACATCGCTTCCACGAAGAAAATCTTCAAGTAAGTCCCAGCTCAGGAGGAGTCTAGCAGTCATGTCCCTGAGGGGCAAGGGCGCCTTGCTCAGGCAGGGAGCCGAGCTCTGGTCCACGTGATGCTCCTCCAGTCAGGCCACTTACCGCAGGGCTCCGCTCCGCGCCATGGCTGGAGCGACTCTCAATTTCATTTTTATTAAATGCTACTTCAGGCATTTTTTGTGCAGTAACATCTTGTCAACAGTCGCTAGTTTTAATTTTGTTTCTCCAGGAGAGTTCTGTATTTTACATTGCCACTCATAACCTATCTTAAATATCAGATGAGCTGTTCTCCATTAATTGTGAGTCACGAGAAAATAGAACCAAAGCAGATCCAAGGATTGTGTTTCATAACACAAAATTTTACTATTGAACAAACAATGACTTTCTTCTCATTCTCAAATTTCAGAAGGGTAGACGATTGTGGAAAGAACTGAAGGGATCTGTAAAACTTAAGTTACTAAGCAGAAATTCTGCTTTGAGAAATCCCGTAAGATACCTACCAGAACTCTCCAACATGTGTAACATGTATACAGTGTACACTTGTCCCTAATAATTTCTATTTTTAAAAAAAGCTATGAAGTTAATCTAAATTCCAGAGTAGTGTGTTATTTCTTCTGCCAAAAGGAAAATCTCTATTTGACAGTTTCTGATGTAAACACCCATCATAAATACCACAATCTTTTAAAATTTAGAAGAGTCTCATAATTAGCAGAAAACATAATGGTACCTTGATTCATGAATTTAATTCTTTCCATGATTCTGGTCACAAACTGAATTGGAGAAGATCCAAGTCAATTTCTCCCTAAGGTCAATGTTGAACGTAAACACTGAATTTGATTTGGTACGTATGTGTATACATATGTATCATTTCATATATATGCATTGTTTCATTTCATACCTTTAACCCATTTTATCTTTATTCTTCACTGAGGTAAAATGAATTCTAAGCCCAGAAGAAATAAATGAATAAAAGATTGGCTTCATTAATGTTGAATATACGGAGTGCACCATGTTGACTTTCTGCATTTTGCATTGGAGGCCAGCCAAGAGATTAAGGAAATAAGATTTGTAAGGCAAACTTTCCCAGATTTGCAAGTTCAAATCACAGCTCTGTGGAAGAGTCACTGTGACCCTTTGGAAAGTGACTTGTGGTAGCTTTCTGTCACTAAAAGCAATGTCTGAGATAATCAGTTTGTAAAGAGGATTTATTTTAGCTCACAGTTTTGTTAGTTCCAGTCCAATGGCAGCTGTCCTCACATCTTCCAGCTCCTCATACGTGTCCCTGGGGGCAAAGACAGGAAACACTCGAGGAAGCAAACTGAGTCCTCACCAAGGGCAAAGGAGAAGAGGAAGGGGGCAGAATCGAACATCTCCTCTGAGTCCATGATCCTTAGGTTTCCGGTGGTCTCACACATCCCTCAAAGCCCCACTTCCGCCATCTCCCAATATCACTCCTCTGGAACCAAGCTTCCCCCCAGTGCAGGGACCTTGGTGTGGACTCCACAGACCACAGTATGATGTAAAGTCCTGGAATTCAGTTTTCCTATAACAGCATGGCAATAATAATACATAGGGTTGTGTCAACAAGTAAAAGAGCTGCTTAGTGAATAATTAACACAGTGCCTGGTGAATGGTAAGTGCTCAGTCAAGGTGACCCTTCGAAGAGCTTGCTGTTCTGATAAACCCATGTGTGACGAAGGGAATGCTTTAGGGAATGCCTAGAATCTGTAGGTGGACAGTGATTAGTCATGTCCAGGTGTTGACTCTGTTTGATGGAGTTGATAACCTTGATGGGGCTAAATTTGGTTTACTAACTGTGAGTGCCTCTGTGTCTAAATATTTCCTAATGCAGATATAGGTTATTCCTGTAAATTCATCATCATAGTGATGGAAACGCCACATCTAAAGGCCTGAGTCCTGCAGGAAATTCCATTTCAGATCCAGTAAAACCCTAGCTTGCTCATGGCACGCAGGTGTTAGTCTCTTTTAGGAAGTTAGCTGGACAAAGGAAGCTCTTCCATGATTTCTGTATTTGTTCTCAGTGGTCTGATCTCTTCATCAGAATTTTCTACCTTTTGTTAAGAGGATTAATCTAAATTTACAGTGAGTATATAAATGCTTCCCACAAATAGGTAGCTCATCTGAGACAGTGCAATCAATGAACATGCCTAGGTCATTTATTGGGCATTAACAAAATACAGTGCATAAGACAGGCTGATTTAAATTCTGTTTCCTAGAGAATTAACTAAAAAGAACAAAATTAACTCCCATTCATGCACTCAGCTATCTGTGTGCTAATTTAGGCAAAGTGCCTTACTTTGTATAGTTGGAACTATACCAACAATCAGTACCAGCTATTTTCATACCTATTCTCTGTCCTGTCTTGCCCTCCTGGGCCTTACAAATAATCCTACTATGATCATGTACGATGAAACAGGCTCTGAAGATCCACCATGCCAGGTAAACCTGTTCTTTCATTCCTTGCCTAATTTTGCTCAAGGATATAGATATATCTTACAAAGAGAATTGAGAATAAGCCAGAATTTTGTCCTTCCTTGTACTTTGTCTTGATAAGTCATTTCAAAACCAGGTGTAGACACTGAGTCCTGGGAAAGCCACACAAAATAGAACTACAGCATATTTTTCCAGAACTGTAGAAATTCAAAACGAATGAGAAAGAAAGAAGAGTCTAAAAATATTCTATGCGGCAATTCTTCTAATGAAGGGAAAAAAAGACAAAAAGAACATTCCTAGAAGTGTAAATCACTAAAGCCCAGGAGATTAGCATAAGGAACCTCTACAAATTATAATTATAAACTGTTTAGAAAAAGATTCTGCATAAAAAACGTCATCTAACATTCTTCATGTAGGAATAAATCACTATTATTTGTACTATTATTTGTATCAGCATTTCTAAGACACAGTAGGTGAATACCACACCTAGCAAGTGCAAGCTCATTTCCCCTCGGGACAAGAATGGTGCAGATGAACATCTGAGTGCTCCTGGGATTTTGTACGTGGAGGATCCACATTTTTATTACTATCACATGGGATGCATGGCGATTAGAAATCTGTGACCGGAAAAAAGTGAGTTAAATTTTCTTATCATGGGAAACTTACTTAAAAGACAAATAAAGTATTGATCATCAACAGAAAAAAGAATTTGAAGCTATTGTTGATGGGCAGAATGCCAATTCTATTTTAAAGAAATGTTCAGAAGATGGTTCCATTATTTAACATTCCAAGATTTTAGTGTACTATTGTTCAATTTTGTGTACGAAATTAAACATACTCTTTTTAAAGTTTACATCTAGATATTTTACATAATTGATGATTTATAATTCAAGGATTATTTAGATCAATGTTTATATTAGGAATACCTCAATATTATCTAGTTGGTCATTTCCAGGTTTGTAATTTAACTTGAAAGAAATATTATGAAATGTATTTGGTAGTCTACTTCCTTTATTATCAGTAAAATGTCATTAAACCTGGAAAGAGTAAATATGTATATATCAATAACTGAACATGATAATAATAATGTTTATATTTAATCTCCTCCCTCTGTTTTACATTTATTTTTACTTTAAGTGTAATACATTTTCATTAAAGAGAATTAAAATATAAAAATTTTAAAAACTTATCTTCCCAAACATTCTTATGCAGTCTTAATTTGCTGGCATATTTTTAAATCCAGGCCTAGCTTTTGAAGTAACTCACAGAAAACCAGAGCACAGGCAAGCATTCTTCTAATTACAATGCTATTAATAGTTAGACTCATGTAAGAAGTTAATACTGACATGCATACTTACATTAAAATAGGTAGATATTGAAATAAAATGTGCTGAAATAAGCTTCCTTATAGAAAGGAATATCACAGTACAACACTGCTCCCCTTAAATTTATAAATACTCTACTTCAGATTAGAATTTATGTAAGATTTAAGAATTGTCTTTAACTACTGATTTCAATTTACTATGACACCTCTGAAGTAGAATGAGGAAAAAGACAGAGATGGGAGAGAGAGAGAGAGAGAGAGAGAGAGGGAGGGAGAGAGAGAGACTTCCTTTATTGTGCATGTGAGTAAAAATCTACTTAAAGACTTGAGTTCAGTGTGCCAGGTTTTGTAGTTCAAGAGCAAGTTATAAAGCATCATGCTCATGGATTTCTGCAAAAGCTAGGAACAGAAAGTCAGTTATAATTCCAGGCTTAACATGCCTGTCCAGCTCATTGCAAATTCAGGAGGATTCTAAAAATTTAATATACTCGGATCTTTAATCTGTCAAAAAGGCAATGCCAACTTTAGGCAAAACTGCAAAGCCTGAGATGTACAAAAAAGTAAAGTTCTCTTCCAGAAGCTCTGTTGTGGTCTTCGAGGAACTGACTAAAGTATGCTGAGGATTTTCTCAGCTCTTCTTGGCTCAACAGGATGGAGACAAAAGCAGCAGGTGAACAGCAGAAGGTGGAAAGATAGTGTCAGGAAGACGAAAGAGTAGCGCTAGCTATTGCAAACAGGAACAAAGTCAGTCCCGCGATAGCACTGGGAACGAGACAGAAGCTAAGTTAGTAACGGATACGTACAGACACACGCCGTGCCCTCGCGTGCATGGCCGGGTTCGCAGCCATCACACTTGTGCCCTGTGGCTCCCGGGCGGCACATGCAGAGGCCTGTGACAGAGTCGCAGGGGACAGGCAGCGAGCCGTAGGGGTCACACTCACATTCTTGGCAGGAGCCTCCCGGGCTGCTTGGGCTGCCCGTGTAGCCAGGGGCACACCTGCATTCAAATGGCAACAAAGCAAAAGAGGTTAACAGCAAGTCATACCTCTCAAGGGTACGTGAGCGCATGTGCACGTGCGTTCGTGTGTGCTTTATTTTAAATGAAACAAAACTGATACCAAGAATCAGGAGCATGTAGATTAGGGGGCCAGCAAACTTTTTCTGTAAAAGACCAGGTAGTATATTTTATGCTTTACTGGCCAAAAGACAAAATCAAATTTATATTTTGAGAAAGAAAGTTTCAAAGTTTTTGTTGTCGCCACTGTTGATGGAAATAAAATATAATAATAATTGAATAGAAATTATTTTGTAGTAGCATTTACTAAAGTAAGAGAATTACTAGCTGTATTCTTTGAAGTATCAAATTTTACTTAGTTTCCAGTTTAGTGCTTTGCATCATCGAGTTGTTTGTGAATGTTTACCTACAGCAAGAACCAGCTAAGGGCCAAATTTGGAAAAATCACTGGAAATGTTCTGCCTGTAGTTTGCCCACCAACGCTCCAGTTCATAAACTTTTCTTAAAGTCTTTTAAAATTAGAAATGAATAAAATTATGTATGTCCTGGGCTTTTCTATAGTCACACATTTTAGCGATCAAAATAACCAAATAAAACAATGAATTTTACTAAATGAGGAAAAAAGGCACAATCAATGGTAATAAGCTACTCAGGTTTTCGATTTAATTCTATTTATCTTTCTTTTTTGTTTTTAACCACATCTTCCTCAGGATGGATTTTTCACTAGGTGCCTGGGAAAGAGGGTTAATATTATGCAAATAAAATCTGTAATACCAACTTGAGAAATTACAATGGAAAATCCAGCTGGATGAAGTCTGACTGCAACTCATTCCCTGATTCCTCCCTACCCATGTATCTATTCATGGAAGCATATACCATATATACCACCACAGACCACCACAGTAGCGGATGTTTGGTAAATGTGAGATGCTAACAAGGCCCTGTGTTTCTGCTTTGTCCAGGACAGTGCCACATGTTGGGCTGTCTTGGCATAATTCTCAACAATAATTCCTGTGCCTCATTAGAGGGTCTCTGGTTGTACAGTAAAAAAAAATATATATATAGAGAGAGAGATAGATAGATAGATCTCATATATATATATGTATATGAGATCCACATAAATATAACCAACAGTCAGAACTTTTGTTCAACAAGTTTGAGAAAGTGAGAAACAGTAAGAGGTTGGAGCCCAAAGCTATGAATATGGCTAGATAACCCTAGACATCTTTAGCAGTCAGGGATGGTGGAAATTTACATGGCTTATGATGAAAATGAGTTCATCCTGTGTTGGATAGAAAAGGCAAAGCAGAAAGAAAATGATTTGTAACATTTCTCCTTCTACTTTACTGTTTTTTACTGTTATTTTCTAATGTAAGATTACACTCAATAAAAGTGTTAAGTAAGTCCTCATTATTTTTTAACATTCATAGCTGAAATAATTGTATTCTAAGCAGGTTCAAATTGATGAAATCTTCAGAGTTTATTGCAAGAGGAATGAAGATAAACTAAGGGGAGGGGTTTCCATATTATAGGGATAATCAAGAAATTTAAGCAGTTTTAGATCCCGCTGAGTTTGGGCAGGTCAGAAGGTGATTAAATGATTTAAGAGGCTCTCATAAGTGGAACAAATTTATTTATCTGGAAGGTTACAATAAAAATTTAACCCAGACCTTTGGTTTAATTTAGCTGAATAGAAGCAATTTTTCAAGGAAATACACTCTGATCATTTATACGTTAGAGAAGATGAATGCGAAGCTATAAGAACATTTAAGAATTGCAGAAACAATTCAAATCGTTCACATTTGATGGTGTATGATCCTGTTCATCTATCTCCTGTGTGAACTGTCGACTCTTACTGATTAAACATTAATGGATATTTAGAGAGTGGATTTCTGTAATGTCTGTGCTTTAAGACAGTGATTGTCATGCTAGAATACCCTTCCAGTGTTTTCTATACATAGGCTTTTGAAGATATGGGGTAATTCCAGTTCTAGTTATGGTACAAAACATTTTTGGTATAATTTACTGCAGATAATTTCCATGGCTCCCAGGATGTTTTTAGTTTTCATCTTACTGGTAGATATAATGTGTGCCTATCAACAAATACCAAAGAACACTGGTGGTCACTAGATTAGATATACCTTTATCATTTATAAGCTACATCCAACTGATGCTTGTTTCTTCAAAAAAATAACAATGTTTTTGGATTTTGTATTGTGAGTTGTTTAATTGCTGCTAATTTCTGTTGGCATCGAAATTACAAATGCATTGTACATATGCAAGTAGCAGATATTGAATTACTACGCAAAGATTTCTATTTGGAAATATATCTTACAAACTTATAGAATTTGAATTTATAAAATTTGAGTCTATTTAATTACTTTCCTATTGCCATTATTAATATAGCCATTGCTGGTTAATAAAAGATTCTTAAAAGTGTGCTGATAAATATTAATATTAGTTGATCTTTGCAAAAAGATTCATAATTTCAGGAGCTCCTACGAGAATACAGGGAAGGAGTAGGCAATGTAGAAATAGAAAAGAAAGAATCCAAATAAGGATGGGATTTCAGGTGATATCAGCCTTCGCGTGATTCCATAGAGAGGTATGAAGGATAAATAATATTCTGCTTATAGGCAGAACATATTTTAAGTATTCTGCCACTTAGTCCTTGGCAATGGGCCACCAGAGGTAGGTTGGGTAGATTCTATGGCCTTTTGTACCTCCTGTTGGAAAGGAGGCTTCCATCCAGGTGCATGGGTGGAGCCTCAACACTGTCCTTGTCCCTTACAAACTTGATGTTCACAATGTCACTGCTTAGCAGGTAGACCACTGGCTATTTTCATATTATACATGAGAAAAATGAGACCAGGACCATGTGGCAGAATTAAGTCCATGGATCTTTATAAAACTTTTATTCTACTGCCCATTATGCTAACATTGTCATGCACCTATCATGTGCATGGTTAATAGTAGTTACTCCCCATCATGACAGAGATACTAAAAGTGGTGTGACAAGTTTGAATTTCCAGGACACCGGTCTTGCAGAAAATTGGTATCCAAAAGATGTCAATTACAATCTTAATAGTCTGAAACTGTATTCCTTAGCTTACTGTTTGAGTTGCATTTATAATTTAATAATAGCTTTATACATAAATTATAAGTTTTATAATTTCTTATGGTAAAAGGAAGCATTTACATAACATCGTTTGCCTGTTAAGAAGGGGAAGTCAGTAATAGATACTTTACTGCATCATTTGGGTAGTATTAATTAAAAATGCTTCATATCATTTATATTTTGAATTATGTATGTGCTTGTAGGTATGAGACCTGAGTGCTATGGAAAATGCTGTGTGAGCAAGTATCGATAGACAGCATTTTCCAGTGAACTAAAATCAGAACTGAGTGGCAAATTTTTAATTACACGTAGCTATTGACAAGCTTCTGAAAATGAATTTGATTTATGTGTCCTAATGGAATCATATCTACCATCATATCTACCCCCTGCTATATATACTGAAGCATGAATCAGATAATTCAGAAATACTTTGGTATGTTTAAGAAACTCTAAATATAAGATGGAAGTAAATTTCTTTGGAGAGAGTCTAAAAGACAAAAAATAATTTTGAAAGCACCTTCTAATTTAAACAATTGGAGAACAGGAGAGTGGTGACATTACTGAAAGCATGAATACTTTTCTATTTTGACTCTGCCCTCGGGGTCACAATGCATGAGGACTGTCGGTACCTTTCGCAGTACTGGCCTTCATAGCCACGTGGACACGCAGTGCAGCGGTAGTTATCCAGGCCTTCCACAACACAAGAAGGACTGAAGCTGAACCAGAAAGGAAGAAAATACTGTAAGAAGTCTCTTAATTTACTTATTTTACAAAATTAAATCTTTCTACTCATTATTCAGATGCCTGCCACATATTTTTTGGGTGGTGATAAATGTCATATTTATCGCTACTGGTGAAATTCTTATTTAAGGATAGGCTATCACAATTAAGTACTATTACTAATAAACAAATATTGGTTAGTTTTTTATTAATTTATAAAGTATAACATTCAAAATTTTCAATAGCTTGATATTTTGATAATTATACAACAGCCATGAAAATATTAAACATCTATCCAAAATATTGCATTATTCACTAATCAAAAGAAAACGTGACCAGAAATTCATGGATATTTGTCTGATAGCAGAATAGGTATTACTGAGTGTATTTCAGATTTTTTTACAAAGTAAAAAATTAGGATATAAAAACTATATAATTATTTCCTTAAAACTCAGTCCAAATTGCCACTGGCATTTCAAGACATGAAGTGTGAACAAATGTTTCATTTAGAATAAAAGAGTGCCTTTTCTAAGTCACATCTAGGTTTCAAAATCATTTTACTTTAAACACAAAATAATGTGATTTGGTATGAAGAAAGAAGAGAAAGATTTCTACCTGAAAATAAGATTTGCTCACTATTTTCTTATATTTTCTAATAATTAGGTGTCTGCTAACTTCTGCTGTGTTTCCACTGCAGCACAATAGACCACAGCCTCTCGCTCCAGGATTGACCATCATTTCATTTTATAAAGGAAAATCCTGATGAGACTTCAAAACTAAACTATTATTATGTAGTTTGCAGTTTTTACAAGTTTCTTTGAAATGTATGTGATAAGTTTTCTTTGGATACAACTACACAATACACTGGAAACTTAGGAAGACAAAACTTATTAGTTGCAAAACACCATTTTTTTGTTTGTTTCTATTGGTCTGCTAAATCATTTGTCATAAAAAACCAATAAAGTATACAGGTTGGGGCCAAACTTCTTTGGGTTAGGTGCTATTAGGATCCTATTTTAACTATTGTTCAATGCAGTAAATCTATAGTACATAACAGAATGATAAACTCTAGTCTTTGCAAAATATGTGAACAAATGAATCTACTACTCACTAACTCATTATCCCACATTTTTTTGGCTACACACAAAAAATAGAACCATAAACTCATAATTGACAATCTGTCAAATTTTTAGCTCTTCAATTTAAAACTCAATGCCAAGTACATCTGTGTGCTCTGACATACAAAATCTCATAGACATAGATATGCATCAAGAAACAGGTTTTGGACACTGCAAGTAAAATTCTACATAGACCATGTGATTGAAATGGATTCCTTTACAGGAAAATAATAAAATGTGAAAAAGTACTCAATGAAGAAATAAAATGGGTTGAAGTACTATATAGGAATGTACTCATTCTCCTTGAAGAGTTGATGCAAACTTATTTGAATTATGATATTGTGGCAGATAGTGCTTTTTCCTTATATCATGTAAAAGAGTACCTGATGGAGAAAGTAGGAAAACTTCTTGCCTGAAGATACCATGATACTTTCCACTCATCGTTCCTGTATCTACTCCCAGTTTTCCCTTCATCTGCAGGACCACTCAGAAATCCTTGTGCTTTTCTCTTCAATATCATCTTCTACATTTCCTTGTGGTGAAAATTCCAAACTCCCCTCAACAGACTTTTTAAAACTTACAGAGCCTGTACTTTGTATCTGCTGTTTGGGATTTGACCCCAATGAATTGGCTTCCTGGAAAACCATCTCCCTCCAGATTTTATCCCAGTTCACTGGTTACTCTTCCTCAGTGTCATTGCTGGATGCACGTTGTATCCCTGATCTCTTGATGTGCTTCTTAGTTCCGTTTTCAGATTTTTTCCTTCCCCTCTACTCATTCCTGTAAATATTTTCTTTCATTCCCAAGAGGTTTAAGGATGAAGGGAAATGGATCTAAAACCAAGTTTCCCTTTCTCTAAGAAACCCACTAGACCTAACAGATCTAACATTAAGTTTCCACTCCTTTAAAGCTATGGTTGTACAGTTGACCTTTTTGTAATTTTTCTCCATCACAGCAATGGTCACTCCATGCTTCCATTTGCCCTGCCAAGAACCATGGAGTCAACTTTGTCTCCTTTCTCTCACAGAACATCCATTTTATCTATCAGTGCCTCTGCTGCTACCATCAACAGCATCAGCGAATTGCCCTCTTATCACTTCAAGATTTCTAGCCATCAGTCTATCTGGTTACCCATCAGAGCTTGCTGGCTTCCGCTGTGACCTTCTTGTCCTCATGAAGTCTATACCAGCCACCCTGAACTCCACTGTCTGCCAACTGTGGGCCACTCACGGCCCTGTCTCTGGGACAGGGCATCTTCTGTCCTCTGGCTGGGCTGCTCCTCCTTCTGCACATATTCAGATGGCTCACTTCACTACTTCCTCCAAGTCTCCACACAAGCTTCCTTCATTAGTGTAGATCATTGATTGCCCTACCTAAAATGGCACCACGGCCACTGTATACTCATTGAGGCTGCTTTGTATATCCTAGCAGCATTGTCATAACCTGATACTACACTCTATATCTATTTGTTTATTGTCTTATTTTCATATAAAATAAAACATAAGCTCTGGCAGGCAAGAAACATGGACTATTAAGCACTAAGAATCATGCTTAACATCAAGTATGGCCCTTATTAAGTATCTTTCGATGAAAAAAGGAATAAATAAAATGCTGTTTATAACTCTGAGAAATTTATAATTCTATGTGAGACAGATCTATATGACTATAGGCTGGGACACATACATTTCATGTCTTACTCGAGGTGTTGAGATGGAGAACTCACAGCTGAGTAGCTGATCAAGTTCTCAAAGAATATTTGATTGAAATAAAGATGTGACAAAATGTACCAGGAGGATACAAAATGGACAAAAAGACATGTTATGCTACGAAAAGGTTTCTGTGGCAGAGGGGGAACTGGAACTGGGTCTTTACAGTAGATTGGATTTCATAGAGATTGTCTCAGGTAATAGCTGGAACAAAATGGCTGCTCACGTTTAGGAAAGAATAAGAAATTTCAAACTTGGCCTCACGGGAAAGGAGGAGAGGGCATTAAGATTGGAAAAGTAGTCAGGTTGCAGAAGGTTTCTGCTGTCCTGCTGAAGTCTCACCTTTCTTCAGGGGTGTATGCGAAAATCTCTGAGGGTGTGTTAGTGCTGCTGCTGTGTTGCAACTATGGAAAGTTTACCATATCTGTTTCAGTAGGAGATGATGAAGACTTGAGGAATGCTGTGGAATTGAGTCAGCAATCATTCCCTATGCCCTCTGTACCCTCTGTTTCTCATGAACTACCCAAACTAAATGAGGTTCATCAGCCTCCTCTGTTTGTATCTCACAGTCTATTTGTAATCCTCACAGATAAGTTTTTGAGAAGTGACTTAGAATACAAAAAAGTAAATCCTATTGTGGTTGTGATCAATAAAGATCAAAAACAACTGAACTGTCTCTGTAATTTGATATTTTGATTCTTTTAGGGTCATTTTCATAAAAACTATACTTAAATTACACAAATCCTACTAGCCACATATGAAACAAAATAGCAAAGACACCGTTTTATCAATTCTGCTAACAAACTAAGGCAGCATTCCATTCTTCATAATTTCTCAAAAGCATAAACTTAACGCCTGCTTCTATGATGGTTGTCAGAACTCATCAGCAGCCTAATTGGCGGCCACTACACCTGGAGTTTCCTCCGAGAGACAGCGCCTGGTGCTGTTCATTGTCGCCCTCTCTCCTTGGTGTCAGTGATATCACTGCCCACGCTCTGGTCTCCCTTCCCTGCCATAGCCCTTCGTCCTCTGCTGGTGACCCAACCAGAGTCCTGTCTTTCCTTCTTTGCAAGTGCTCCCCTTGGGTAGCATTAGCCTGGGAAATCTTTTCTGACTTCAACACAGTTGCTAACATATTTCTTCCTTCATCTGCTTCTGCAGTTTTCAGATTTCCATTTTCTGCAGCTGTTTGCATATTTCCATTCAGATAGACCCTTTGCATCAATCTGAACCTATTTAAACCATAAATTGCCTTTCTTCTGCAGCTGCTTTTCGCTGAGTTTCCTATTTCAGGTCATGGCTCCATCATTTTCTGGACAGCCTGGCTAAAACCCTAAGTATTCTGCTCTAGTCTGGACCCTCACCCCTCACACATAATCAGGTATCAGTTCCGTAGGGCTGTGTTGAACACATTTTTCGTTTTCATCCCTGTGTCTCCACTCTTGTTGCTACTGCCTACCTTCAAGTCCTAATTATCCTTGCCTAAGCTACTGCAATGGCCTTTTAATTGTCTCATTGCTTTTCTTCTTTGCCTGTCTCAATTCATTATATTCAATACTTCATAAAGCCTTCATAAAATGTGGCTCTGATTAGCTTAATCTTTTTTAAAAAATAAAATTTGCAGCTTTTTAGTATATAGAAAAATGAAATACTAATTTATTAGATGGTATTCAAGGATTTGTATAATATGGGCTCTATTCTCCCATTCATTTTCGTCTGTAATTATGAACTTCTGTCTAAGGGCCATGCTCCAAATTCTACTACTTGCTAGCTCTAAAATATGCCTTGGGCATTGTATTTTCTAAGCTACTCATATCACTCCCTACTATCCCACCAGTAACAATGCTTCAGTCCACTGTTGACAATCTATTATACATACAACCATTTCTTTAATAGTTCTTAAAGCTTCCAAAATTAAGTACAGTGTTGTACGTCCTTGAATTCTCTTAACATTGAAGTCAACTCCTCTTAAGACTCATGTTTCATAGTGAGTTTCTCCAAGAAATGGTACACTTCCCTCATACTTCTTGCAGCTTGCTTTATAGTGTACTCAAGAATGAATGATTAATGAACGACTGATTTTCTTCTAATCTAAATTGCTCACATTTTAATAAACAGGAAAATAGATAACACTCTTTTGTTTACATATTGGCATCAGAGGGGGATTGGAGAAAAGGAGATGAAAATAATATTATGTTTCATACACCTACCATTTGGTGCTTTAGTGAATAATGAGATGATGTACATTAGCATAGTCAATATCCATTTTACTTAAAGATTTACAATTGAAAACTCAGAAAAAGTTTGCAATTCTGGCCAAGAAAAAAGGGGAGATTCCAGGGGGAAAGGACAAAACTTTATACAATTGTTTTTGGAATGTATGCAAAGCTGAAGATGAAGAACCCAAGTGAATAGGCACAAATGGAAAGATGGCTTTTGTCTGACTTGCTTTGTTGCTCTTTTGTACTCAAGATAAGGTGTCCAGAATTCTAATTCTGAACAAACATCTGTATCTTCTTTTTCCAAAGCAGATCCCTAAAGAAAAACTACTTTACCACTTAGAGATTGAATTCTATGAGTCACTTAACAGAAAGTACGAGCTTAGCAAAAAGGTAAATGGAAACACCTAGGGATTTTCATCAAACTATAAACCAAGGCTGAATGTTCAAGCAGCATTGAAATAAGATATCCCAGCATTTGTTTTCCCTCATGACTGTGTTTCCATGGCACCATGTTCAAACCATCTTACCAGAAAGGAGGCTATGATTCTGTCAGATACTGACCTTTTTAAAGCATAACAATAAGTCATCCTGTTTTCTCTGTGGTATTTTTCAATTGTTTCCTTGGTAATTATTTCCCAATCGTGAATTTAACACATGAAATAAATGGAAAAAGCCACAAAAAATGATATGGTACCCACCCAAACAATCCTTCATAGCTGAATTTTTGGCAGAACTGTATGCAAACACTACACTTGTATATTTATGAAACCATGTACATTTGTACATATATAATTTATTTTATAAGCAGATCTTCTGTTAATATTTGGACTTACATTTGAATTCATGAATATTATTTACTTTGGACAGGGTTTTAAAGGACAAATGAACCACATAATATACAAACTGACTTTTGTCATGTTTTTATATTAAAAATCTCTGTCTTAGATTAAGACTTTGTCTACATATAAATAGCCAAGTCTTAGACAGCCCATGTGCTGGACAGATGGCAATAACGATTGGGAAATATGGTTCTATTTCTCAATCTTACTTGTTCCTGGAAGAAATCAGAGGGCAAGCACATTGCTGACAGTCATTTGGCAATCCCTTGACAATTCCATAGTATCCCAGTGCACATCGCTCACAAAAATCACCAGCAGTGTGATGCTGACAATCCTGTAAAGGCAAAGGGAGAAAAAGATTGTTTTTCTTTTGATGAGACATTGAATATAATTGATCATACAGCACACCACCTATGAGTGTGTGTGTTCATGAATACACACACTCAAACACACATGCGGACTTTCTCATTAAGAGAAAACATATGTTTGTATACCTTTCATTTGAGAAACAAATACCATGGTTATTGTGTTATGTAGCTATATTGAGAAGAATTTGTTTTCCCTGTATCAACTTCTGTGTACGTTTTCCTTTTACTCTAAATTGGGAAAGAGAATTTAAAGGATCTTAAACTGGTTGTCTGGCCATTTAAGTCTCTTCCCTTCCCATGTTTGTCTGTATGAGGTATCGCAGAAGTGCTGGGATTCCCGGGGCCTCAGTACCTGCCCATCAGCAGACTTTATGAAGCTAAGCCCAAATGAAAAGCATAAAGGCTCCGAGAGACAACATGAACAAAAAAAGGTCAGCCTTTCCACCATCTGAAGAATGTTATCCATTTACTTTTCTGCCAAATGTTGGTTCTGTATAAGTACAGAGAACTCAACTTGAAATGAGCAAACTTACATCCATATTTCGTCCTCCATATTTGCATAATAAGGGATATTGGGGTGAAAAGTGTTAGAACACTTCCACAGAAAATGAGAAAAGTGTCAGAGTAGTATATAAACAGTTCTGGAATTGGGCTGGGGATGTAGCTCAGTGGTGCTGTCGCCTGCCTTGCAAGCGCGAGGTACTAAGTTGGATCCCCAGTACCAAAGAAAAAACAACCAAAAAAAAAAGTTTTGAAATTGAAAGTGTCACAGAGTAGAATGACATTTAATACAGAACAACTGTACACCAGGACATAGGAAGAGCCACCTCTAGGCAATGACACGGACACTAAGAGAATCCAATAAGAGAAGTAAAGGAAAACAACGTCCTACCCTCCAGAAATACATTTGACTCAGGGGACAAAAGCCTAGCCAATAATAAACAACAAAACGCAATATCAAATGTTGTTTAGTGAAACTGCAGCACTTGATTTTGTGAGTCAAAAAAACAAAAGGAAATTTGGAGTTGGATTTCAGCTTGATTTTCTAGGACAGGATTTGAGGTACTCAGAGCAGTGATTTACTTCCTATAAACAGAACACAGAGAGAAAGTGAGACAGCACAATCTGGAGCCAAATAGGTGTAGATGTCAGTGAGCTGCTGTCCTGAGCCACTGGGGAAGTTACAAGGCTGTCTGCAGGGTCCAAGGCGAACTGGGCTGACTGGAGTCTGCGGGCTCTGCTTCAGTCCACCCAGAAGAGCGCGCTTAACTTTCATCTGCCTCCCAAGGCAAACAATGGTACCAGAGATGCAGTTTTCACGACAAATGATAACTAAAGTCAGGTCGCCACAGACATTGCCATGGAATTGTTATGTTTTTTAGAGAGGTTATGCTCCTCTCTGCAGTGAATCCATGACATTGCCACTATCAATTTTAGACTATTGGTCTTTTGCATTTTTGGCATTGTATTTGAAAATACATTGTGTTGTCTGCAGATGCATTGTACAGCTTGATGTAAAAGAGATCCAGTTTTCCAAAACGACAGGTCCAACCGCAGTCCTAAATTTCCACTTTGCCCTTAGCAGAGGATAGTCTCCTGTTTTCAAAGAAATGAAACCTCCTATTTGGGTGCACCTCTGTTTCCTTCCAAACAATGCATGGTTTTGTCTGCCTTTCCCCATCTCTTTGACATAGTATTCTGTCTTGTCCCTGGCTCATCCCTAAGATCTTCCTAGCTAAACTGAAATTTATTGACAATAATCAGTCCTCATGATATGTGAATTCTCCGCACCACCTGATATTTCTGGCCATTCTTTCTCTGCAATTTTCTGTTTCCATACTAATAAAATCGGTAGATGCATTTCCTATCTCTGTAGCTATTCTTATCTTTTGTGGACTCTTTCTTCCCTTTCTGTCTAGTAAGATTGATTTTGTTGATTCAAGTTTTTGCTTTCATCTTTTGTTTTTCCTACACATTCTGCCTTGGGGATTTCATCCATTACTCTGACATTAGTTACGTATGTGCCCAAAACTCTGAATTTTATATATTTATCATTGATATCTCCAGTTAGTTCCAAAATTGTATTTCTAATTGCTGCTCGGGTAGATCTTATTGTATAACACAAAAGCACCTGGACTCTGAAAGGTCAATTATGAAGCTAATCTCATTCAATTTGCTAATTCTCCAGTTTCCTGTTTCAGCTGGTGGTCACTATCATCTGCTGAATGGCTCAGGTCAGCAACCTAGAGGTTTTTCTTAGCCCAGATATCTGTTTGCTCACTGTTCTACAATTCTATTTTTCTGTTTCTTGATTTCCTTGTTGCTACTAATTTTATCTGGCCATTGACATCTTTTACCTGGATTATCAGAATAGCCTCCTAGCTAAAGGCTCTGTTTCCAAATGTGTCAGCCAGTGTTTTCTCCACACTCTGCTTAAATCAAACCATGTCCTTCTCTTGCTTGAGAGTCTGCATGGATCTTTCTCACCATCAGGATGAATGGGGAAGACTTTCCTAATCTCTCCTGCTTACCCTCTGGCTTTATCTAGCTACTGTTTCTTTTGCACACCCTAGGATATCATAATATTTTTAAGATGAAGAAAAACAAGTTTCAGTCTAATAAATACAGGAAAGTGGCTATCAGGACAAAATGATTTGTTATATTTTGATGTTGATTTAAGCACCATAATCCTTTCTTATTCATCCATCCAAAGGAGCCACCATATTTTAGCAATAAAATACCCATTCCATATTTAAGAGTAGCATTGTAAGAGATAATGGCTCCCAGGAAGAGCAATTGTCTATGAATTCCAGTCTCAAATGTTTCAGCAAGATGTCAAATAATGAATAAGTATTAACCGGGGAGTGTTTTAAGAACATATTTTATGGTTTAGAAATGAACATGTGCCAAAAGCACATGGGATCTTCAACAATAATTTTTAGCATTTTGCTTTTATAATAAAATCACTGCTTAATGAATTATTTTTAATAACCTAAAGTAACATTAATAACCATATTAAAATACTTAAAGATAATTATCATTACTAAAATACAGAAATTCAAAAGTACGGTTTCACTTTTCTTGTACTTGAAACTTTATATAATTTCTTCAGAAAGAAAGTAAATATTGTAACTTCTCAGGATAGTCAATCTTCCCCAAGGTTGCTGACATTCTGTACTCAGTTAAGTGAATCAAATGTCCTGCTTAGGTCTGCAAACACAACACATAAATCTTGATGCTATTTTTGAAACTTTCTGACACAGCCCTTTTGATCGACTTTCCAGTATGCTGCCAAATAGTGTATGTATTTGCTCCTGTATAGAAATTAGCCTTTAGGAAAAATTTCTGTACTTTATATATCTCATGAGAAGTTTATCAATAAATGCACAATAAGATTGTGCTATTTTACATCTAAGGGAAGCAGTTCCTTAGATGAGTCTTTCCTATACTTTCTTTATCATAAATGCAAGAATTCTTATAAGGCTGTCCTCACCTTGCATAACTCTAAACTATGAAGTTCTCACTTGTGATGTCTGAAAAATTGCATTCTAGTTTTCAGTCAGTGACCAAGTTTTGTCTTATAAAGCTACACAGATTAAGTCTAATTCCCATTTTCCAGGGAAGATACTCATTTTTTAAGAACAATATTGCTTCCTAAACTTTTTTTCAAGTCAAATGTTTTAAAGTCCCAGTTACTCCAAATTTCTTTCAAAATACAGTGGCTTATAAGTTTCTAGCTATGATTTACAAACATATTGAATGTACTTCCATCCTTAATTTGGGTCTTGCACAAATAACAATGACTTTTGGTCTCTATCCAATGTGCAAACAACTAAGAACTCGTATGTCACATGAATCAATATTAGGTGCAATTTTGTTTTTCCCTTGGGCAATAAACAATGAGCTCCTACAGGCCAAGACCTATGGAATTCACATCTTTATATCCAGCATCCACCATAAGATGGGCATATGGAAATAATTATTAGCAAATGCCTAAGAATGAAGGGGCAAATGAGCTAAGTTCAAAACCTTCTCTATAAACTTTACATTGTTAATTGTGGGCATAATTCCACTGGAGAGAAGTTTTTCCACTATGCAATGAATGAAGTTACACTTGCAGGTTTATGTCACGAGTATCTGACAGGTCCCATTCAAAGGACTGAGCACAGCAGAGCCAGACTCAAAGCCCTTGTCTTACCACCGGAGACATCTCTAGAGCCTTCTCGCTGCCACGTGTTCTAGCTCTTAGCTTTGCTGAATTTGAGATACGACATATCCCACTATCCAAGGAAATTGATATTATACTGAGATTCAGGAAACCAGGGGCTCAATATTCTTTATATAACCTTGGCAATATATAGCAAAATACAGTGTGATGTGTGTTATTTTGAAGGACTCTATTCTGATTCACAGGAAACACAGTTTCTATAGCTGACAGTGGTTAAATAAGTTACCCTCAAGGTTCACTGGAGATCAACATTAGTTTCCTATATTCTCCTTTTCCTTATAAAATGTGAACAGCCATTTTATTGCTATCTTCTGATAAATTTATATTCTCATGATTTCTTAAATATTTCTCACATATGACCTTTAGTAACTTTGCAGTTTCTATCCATACTCTAGGATATAATTCACTTGGGATTTTAAAACTAAACTCATTTAATCAAGTAAGTATACATTTATTCCTTCTCAGTTTGTAGAAAATAAGTTAGTAGTAATTTAGAAACCTGATTCTAATATTTTTGGACAAGACTCTAATAGATTGCTTAAATTTTCTTACCATTAATTTTCAGAGATATAATAACATGTCATAAGGTTGTTAGATAGATTAATGAAAGTTTACTAGACACCTTCAAACAGTAGTTTCCAGTTAAAGATCTATTGACCGAGGAGAGGGCTTATAGTTTAACTGCAGATATTGACAGCTTTTCAGGCCATGAAGCAGATCAACGATGCAAATTTTCTT